CATATGTGGTATATAATGTTCTGAAAGATTCCTTACACAAGTTTCTAAAGGCCGTTCTTATGTTAGCCAACCTGGCATATGCCGCTGATGTTATCATCTTGATATGAGCTTCAGGGGACAGGTCTGGCGCGATATCAACCCCCAGGTCTTTCTCTCTCTTTCTAACTCTTAAAGAATTTCATCTCTCAAATGATATTTTGTACATGGTCTCCTGCTAGGGAGCAGGAGACCAGATATTTTTATCATTATTATTACCAGATATATTATATTACCAGATATATTTTCTGGAATGGTCTAGAAAAAGGCTACTAAAGTTAAACTCAGTTAAGTGTAAAGTAATGAAATTAGGCGAAGGGAGCAGAAGGCTGAACACAATGTACCATCTGGAAGGTGATATCCTGCAAGAGTCATAGAGAGATAAATATCTGGGGGTTGATATCACACCGAACCTGTCCCCAGAGGCCCACATCAAAAGGATATCATCAGCGGCATATGCTAGACTGGCCAACATAAGAACTGCTTTTAGAAACTTGTGTAAGGAATCGTTCAGGACCCTGTATACCACTTATGTCAGACCAATCCTGGAATATGCAGCTCCAGCCTGGAGTCGATACCAAGTTAAACACAAGACAAAGTTAGAGAAGATTCAGAGGTATGCCACCAGACTAATCCCGGAACTGAGAAGTATGAGCTACGAGGAAAGGTTAAGGGAGCTGAACTTCATGTCCCTGGAAAACAGAAGAGTAAGGGGAGACATGATAACCACCTACTAAATTCTCAAGGAAATTGACAGGATGGACAAAGATCAACTCTTAAGCACGGGTGGAACACGAACAAGGGGACACAGGTTGAAACTTAGTACCCAGATGAGCCACAAAGACATTAGAAAGATTTTTTTTAGTGTCAGAGTAGTTAACAAACGGAATGAATTAAATAATGATGTGGTGAAGGCAGAATCCATACACAGTTTCAAATGTAGATATGATAGAGCCCAGTAGGCTCAGGAATTTGTACACCAGTTGATAGGCGGGTCCAAAGAGCCAGAGCTCAACCCCCACAAGTACAACTAGGTAAGGTCAACTAGGTAAGTACACACACATGAGAAAAGCTGTTGGACCGGACGGAATTTTACCGTGGGGTACCTTACCTTGAGATTACCTTGAGGTGCTTCCGGGGCTTAGCGTCCCCGCGACCCGGTCGTCGACCAGGCCTCCTGGTTGCTGGACTGTTGGACGCGGCTGCTCGCAGCCTGACGTATGAGTCACAGCCTGGGATACTGAAAGAGTGTGCAGAAACACTTTGCTTGCCACTTTCCATGTTATATAGTAAGTCAGTGGAGACAGGAGACCTACCAGAAATATGGAAGACCGCTAATGTAGTCCCAATATACATAAAGGGTGACAGGCAAGAGGAACTGAACTACATGCCAGCGTCTTTATGTAGGTGGTCGGAACCACACCTCAAGGCCCCCCCCCCCCACCATATTTCCTCCCTTGCCCTTCTCATTCCCCAACCCCTTCCTCTACCCAGGTCCTCCCTGTTCCCTCACCCCAAGCTATCCTTCCTACCCTGCCCGCCACCTCCCTCCCTCCCTGCCCCCGACCCCAGGCCCTCCCTGTTCCCTCACCCAAGCTATCCTACCTACCCTGCCCGCCACCTCCCTCCCTCCCTGCCCCCGACCCCAGGTCCTCCCTGTTCCCTCACCCAAGCTATCCTTCCTACCCTGCCCGCCACCCCTCCCTCCCTGCCCCGACCCAGGCTCCCCTTTATTCCCCAACCCCTGACCTTCCTCCCCCTCCCCCACCTCATGCACCCGTTTGCTCCCCCCCATCCCATGCCCTAATTGTTCCCCAACACCACCTCCCTCGCAACCACACCTCTCCAGACCCTCCTTGCCTCCCCGTACTAGATCCACCCAGACCCCTCACACCCCAGATCCACCAGGTCCACCTTCCTAGGCCCGCAGCACACCCCAGATCCACCAGGTCCACCTCCTAGGCCCGCACACCCCTCCCACCCCCCCCCAACTCAGTGGAATCGACAGAAACTGAGGATGGACAGAAGAGAGTCAGTTTCAAGGTAATGTACTCGAACATAAATGGGAGTACAAGCAAGTGAAGACCAATGTTCTTATGTTCTTTCCCCAGGACTACACTGTAATTAGGAAAGAGAGGGAAGGAAGGGGAGGAAGCGGGGTGCCCATACTGATAAGAAAGGAATGGTTTCGAGGAAATGGTTATCCCAGACTGGGAGGGGTTCAGAGACTACATTACAAACACCATGATTATGAGAGCACCAGGAGTAGTAGTAGAAGTGACATATAACCCTCCAACAAATGACAGAAGATCCAGGCAAGAGTATGACAGAAACAATATGGTAGTTAACACTATAACCGGTGAGAGGGAGCCGGTCGGCCGAGCGGACAGCACGCTGGACTTGTGATCCTGTGGTCCTGGGTTCGATCCCAGGCGCCGGCGAGAAACATTGGGCAGAGTTTCTTTCACCCTATGCCCCTGTTACCTAGCAGTAAAATAGGTACCTGGGTGTTAGTCAGCTGTCACGGGCTGCTTCCTGGGGGTGGAGGCTTGGTCGAGGACCGGGCCGCGGGGACACTAAAAAAAAAAAAAAGCCCTGAAATTATCTCAAGATAAGGAACCTCAAGATAACTGAGAGGGCAGCCGCTGCTGCCTGTAGAAATCTATCCCCATCTGCTTAGATGAGGGACAGAAATGGGGTACTTCAATCACGGAAGGATAGACAGAGAACAAAGAACCGCATTTTGGTGAGGAAACATGGGGAGCTAAACTGTTGGAGGTGGCGACAAGAAACTTTTTAAGCCAGCATGTCAGGGAACCCTCAAGAATGAAAGGCAGTGATGAACCCGCGAGACTCTACCTAGTCTTCACTCTAAACGACTCCGACATAAGGAAAATCGGTTTCAAAGCCCCCGTGGGAATGAGTGATCACAGTGTACTGATGATTGAGTATCTGGTCGGAGTAGAGTTAATGTACTCAAGGAAGGGACCTGAAAACAAAAGGATGGCATTCCGAAAGGGAAACTATGATAAAGAGAGATAAGGAAATTCGTAACAGATATAACTTGGAAAACACAGCTACATCAGGAGAAAAACAACAGTGAAGGAACAGGTAATGAAACTGAAGATAGGGACAGACAGATTCATTACAAACGACAAGGAAGTGTGAGATGAACTCAATAAGAAATTCCTGGAAGGTCTTCACAGTTGAGCAAGGAGAAGTCCCAGAGATAAGAGAGGGAATATCTAACCTGACACCACTAGATGAGTTTATGATTACCAGTGGAAAGTGAAGAAGCATCTGCTAGAGTTGGATGTGACAAAGGCTATAGGCCCGGAGGGAATCTCACCATGGATACTAATGGAAGGAGCAGAAGCTCTGTGCTTGCCACTATCCATGGTGTACAACAAATAACCGGTAACAGGTGAACTGCCAAAAATTTGGAAGACGGCCAATGTAGTCCCGACATTCAAGAAGGGTTATAGGCAGAAGGCACTGAACTACTGACCAAAGTCCCTAACTTGCATGCCGTGTAAGTTGTTGAACATTGTACGAAAAAAGCAGGAGGAACATCTGGAGCGAAAGAACTTTGTAACACAACTTCAACATGGGTGTTGGGATAGCAAGTCCTGCCTCACAGGATTAATTGAATTCTACGACCAGGCAACAAAATTCAGACAAGAAATAGACGAGTGGGCAGACTGCATTTTTTTGGATTTCCAGAAAGCCTTTGAGACAGTACCACACAAGAGACTATTCAATGGATAAGGGAACAGAAGACGGAAGAACATAAGCAACAGAAGACGGCGAGTCACTCAGAGGGAAGGTCTTTGAGTGGCGATACGTCACCAGTGGAGTCCCACAGGGTTCAGTCCTTGGACCTATACTGTTTCTGATATATGTAATTGATCTCCCAGAGGGAATAGACTCGTTCCTCTCAATGTTTGCTGATGCAAAAATTATGAGGAGGATTAAGACAGAGGAAGATAGTATTAGGCTACAAGATGACCTAGACAAACTGAAGGAATGATCCAACAAATGGCTATTAAAGTTCAATCCAAGTAAATGTAAGGCAATGAAACTAGCCGGAGGAAATGGGAGGCCAGACACTGGTTCCCGAATGGGGGATGAAGCCCTGCATGATCGGACAGAGAGAAAGATCTAGGAGTTGATATCAAGCTAAACCTCTGTCCTGAAGCCCACATCAAAAAAATAACATCTGCGGCATATGCGAGGCTGGCTATCATCAGAACTGCCTTCAGAAACCTGTGTAAGGAGTCTCTCAGAACCGTTTATAATACATATGTAAGACCAATCCTGGAGTATGCTGCCCCAGCATGGAGCCCGTATCTTGTCAAGCACAAGACGAAACTTGAAAAAAAAGTTCAGAGGTATGTCATTAGGCTAGTCCCAGAACTAAGAGGCATGGGATACGAGGAATGGCTGTGTGAATGGCACCTCACGTCGTTGGAAGGCAGAAGAGCTCAGGGAGACATGATCACCATATACAAAATCCTCAGGGGAAATTAACAGGGTAGACAAGGAGAGATTATTTAACACGGGGTGGTACACGCACAAGAGGACACAGGTGGAAGGTGAGTACTCAAATGAGCCACAGAGACATTAGAAAGAACTTTTTCAGTGTCAGAGTAGTTAGTAAATAAAATGCATTAGGAAGTGATGTGGTGGAGGCTGGCTTCATTCACAGTTTCAAATGAAATATGAGAGAGCCCAGTAGGCTCAGGAACCTGAACTTGAACCTTGATTGACGGTTGAGAGGCGGAACCAAAGAGCCAGAGCTCAACCCCCGCAAACACAATTAAGTGAGTACATACATATTCTTATCCCAGTCAACCCCCCCCCCCACACACACCAGTAACAAACTCCCTCACCATTGTTCCTCATGCTGTGTTTTGACAAGACAATAATTCCACTTTCCAGCCGGGAAATATTGCCATCTAATACTAGACTTTAGAGAAGGCGCCAGGCTCTTCTTGGCACCACATTGTGGCCCCCGGGCTCTTCTTGGCGCCACATTGTGGCCCCCGGGCTCTTCTTGGCGCCACATTGTGGCCCCCGGGCTCTTCTTGGCGCCACATTGTGGCCCCGGGCTCTTCTTGGCACCACATTGTGGCCCCCGGGCTCTTCTTGGCACCACATTGTGGCCCCCGGGCTCTTCTTGGCACCACATTGTGGCCCGGGCTCTTCTTGGCGCCACATTGTGGCCCCCGGGCTCTTCTTGGCACCACATTGTGGCCCCCGGGCTCTTCTTGGCGCCACATTGTGGCCCCCGGGCTCTTCTTGGCACCACATTGTGGCCCCCGGGCTCTTCTTGGCACCACATTGTGGCCCCCGGGCTCTTCTTGGCGCCACATTGTGGCCCCGGGCTCTTCTTGGCGCCACATTGTGGCCCCCGGGCTCTTCTTGGCACCACATTGTGGCCCCCGGGCTCTTCTTGGCGCCACATTGTGGCCCCCGGGCTCTTCTTGGCGCCACATTGTGGCCCCGGGCTCCTCTTGGCGCCACATTGTGGCCCCCGGGCTCTTCTTGGCGCCACATTGTGGCCCCCGGGCTCTTCTTGGCACCACATTGTGGCCCCCGGGCTCTTCTTGGCACCACATTGTGGCCCCCGGGCTCTTCTTGGCACCACATTGTGGCCCCCGGGCTCTTCTTGGCACCACATTGTGGCCCCGGGCTCTTCTTGGCGCCACATTGTGGCCCCCGGGCTCTTCTTGGCGCCACATTGTGGTCCCCGGGCTCCTCTTGGCGCCACATTGTGGCCCCCGGGCTCCTCTTGGCGCCACATTGTGGCCCCCGGGCTCTTCTTGGCACCACATTGTGGTCCCCCGGGCTCCTCTTGGCACCACATTGTTGCCCCGGGCTCTTCTTGGCGCCACATTGTGGCCCCCGGGCTCTTCATGGCACCACATTGTGGCCCCCGGGCTCTTCTTGGCACCACATTGTGGTCCCCGGGCTCTTCTTGGCACCACATTGTGGTCCCCCGGGCTCTTCATGGCACCACATTGTGGCCCCGGGCTCTTCATTGCACCACATTGTGGCCCCGGGCTCTTCATGGCACCACATTGTGGCCCCGGGCTCTTCATGGCACCACATTGTGGCCCCCGGGCTCTTCATGGCACCACATTGTGGCCCCCGGGCTCTTCATGGCGCCACATTGTGGCCCCCGGGCTCTTCATGGCGCCACATTGTGGCCCCCGGGCTCCTCTTGGCGCCACATTGTGGCCCCGGGCTCCTCTTGGCGCCACATTGTGGCCCCGGGCTCTTCTTGGCGCCACATTGTGGCCCCCGGGCTCTTCTTGGCACCACATTGTGGCCCCGGGCTCTTCATGGCACCACATTGTGGCCCCGGGCTCTTCATGGCACCACATTGTGGCCCCGGGCTCTTCATGGCACCACATTGTGGCCCCGGGCTCTTCATTGCACCACATTGTGGCCCCGGGCTCTTCATGGCACCACATTGTGGCCCCCGGGCTCTTCATGGCACCACATTGTGGCCCCCGGGCTCTTCATGGCGCCACATTGTGGCCCCCGGGCTCTTCATGGCGCCACATTGTGGCCCCCGGGCTCTTCTTGGCGCCACATTGTGGCCCCCGGGCTCTTCCTGGCGCCACATTGTGGCCCCCGGGCTCTTCCTGGCGCCACATTGTGGCCCCCGGGCTCTTCTTGGCGCCACATTGTGGCCCCGGGCTCTTCATTGCACCACATTGTGGCCCCAGGCTCTTCATGGCACCACATTGTGGCCCCCGGGCTCTTCATGGCACCACATTGTGGCCCCCGGGCTCTTCATGGCACCACATTGTGGCCCCGGGCTCTTCTTGGCACCACATTGTGGCCCCCGGGCTCTTCATGGCACCACATTGTGGCCCCGGGCTCTTCATGGCACCACATTGTGGCCCCGGGCTCTTCATGGCACCACATTGTGGCCCCGGGCTCTTCATGGCACCACATTGTGACCCCGGGCTCTTCATGGCACCACATTGTGGCCCCGGGCTCTTCATGGCACCACATTGTGACCCCGGGCTCTTCATGGCACCACATTGTGGCCCCCGGGCTCCTGCGGCAGCCATTGTGATCCACGTATTTTCCCTCAATATTTTATTACTGTTACCTAATGCAGCCCTCGGTGGCTTACACTGATGCCTGTCTTAGACAACAGTGTAAGCAACAGAGGAGTACATGAACGTAATTGTCTCACTCTCACACTGGGGATCTTACTCCTCTCACACTGGGGATCTTCCTCCTCTCACACTGGGGATCTTACTCCTGCCAGTGAGAAAATTTCACCTTCCTCACAGTGCACATTATGAGCCAAAATGATTCTTTTCTCATATAAATTTCTTAAATGAATCTGGAAGCTGTATGTCTACTTTATCACACTAACTCCTGGAGACTTACAGCTTCAGTCAGCCTCCCTCATCAGTCTGCCACACAGCCACACTAACACCATCAGTCTACCACACAGACACACCAACAGTCTACCACACAGACACACTAACACAGTATTATGGAGTATGCAGCTCCAGCCTGGAGTCCATACCTAGTTAAACACAAGACAAAGTTAGAGAAGATTCAGCGGTATGCCACCAGGCTCGTCCCGGAACTGAGAGGATTGAGCTACGAGGAAAGGCTAAAGGAGCTGAACCTCACATCCCTGGAAAACAGAAGAGTAAGGGGAGACATGATAACCACCTACAAAATTCTCAGGGGAATTGACAGGGTGGACAAAGACAAACTCTTCAGCACGGGTGGGACACGAACAAGGGGACACAGGTGGAAACTTAGTACCCAGATGAGCCACAGAGACGTTAGAAAGAATTTTTTCAGTGTCAGAGTAGTTAATAAATGGAATGCACTAGGAAGTGATGTGGTGGAGGCTGACTCCATACACAGTTTCAAATGTAGATATGATTGAGCCCAGTAGGCTCAGGAATCTGTACACCAGTTGATTGACAGTTGAGAGGCGGGACCAAAGAGCCAAAGCTCAACCCCCGCAAGCACAATTAGGTGAGTACAGTCTACCACACAGTCACAGACACACCAACACAGTCTACCACACAGACACACCAACACAGTCTACCACACAGACACACCAACACAGTCTACCACACAGACACACCAACACAGTCTACCACACAGACACACCAACAGTCTACCACACAGACACACCAACAGTCTACCACACAGACACACCAACACAGTCTACCACACAGACACACCAACAGTCTACCACACAGACACAACAACAGTCTACCACACAGCCACAGACACACCAACACAGCCTGCCACACAGCCACAGACACACCAACACAGTCTACCACACAGACACACCAACACAGTCTACCACACAGCCACAGACACACCAACACAGTCTACCACACAGACACACCAACACAGTCTACCACACAGACACACTAACACAGTCTACCACACAGTCACAGACACACCAACACAGTCTACCACACAGACACACCAACACAGTCTACCACACAGACACACCAACACAGTCAACCACACAGACACACCAACAGTCTACCACACAGACACACCAACAGTCTACCACACAGACACACCAACACAGTCTACCACACAGACACACCAACAGTCTACCACACAGACACACCAACAGTCTACCACACAGACACAACAACAGTCTACCACACAGCCACAGACACACCAACACAGTCTGCCACACAGCCACAGACACACCAACACAGTCTACCACACAGACACACCAACACAGTCTACCACACAGCCACAGACACACCAACACAGTCTACCACACAGACACACCAACACAGTCTACCACACAGACACACCAACACAGTCTACCACACAGACATACCAACACAGTCTACCACAGACACACCAACAGTCTACCACACAGACACCCCAACACAGTCTACCACACAGACACACCAACACAGTCTACCACACAGACACACCAACAGTCTACCACACAGACACAACAACAGTCTACCACACAGACACACCAACAGTCTACCACACAGACACACCAACACAGTCTACCACACAGACACACCAACACAGTCTACCACACAGTCACACCAACACAGTCTACCACACAGACACACCAACAGTCTACCACACAGTCACACCAACAGTCTACCATACAGACACACCAACACAGTCTACCACACAGACACACCAACAAAGTCTACCACACAGTCACAGACACTCCAACAGTCTACCACACAGACACACCAACACAGTCTACCACACAGACACACCAACACAGTCTACCACACAGTCACAGACACACCAACTGTCTACCACACAGACACACCAACACAGTCTACCACACAGACACACCAACACAGTCTACCACACAGCCACAGACACACCAACACAGTCTACCACACAGCCACAGACACACCAACACAGTCTACCACACAGACACACCAACACAGTCTACCATACAGACACACCAACACAGTCTACCACACAGACACACCAACACTGTCTACCACACAGTCACAGACACACCAACAGTCTACCACACAGACACACCAACACAGTCTACCACACAGACACACCAACACAGTCTACCACACAGTCACAGACACACCAACACAGTCTACCACACAGCCACAGACACACCAACACAGTCTACCACACAGTCACAGACACACAGTCTACCACACAGACACACCAACACAGTCTACCACACAGACACACCAACACAGTCTACCACATAGACACACCAACACAGTCTACCACACAGACACACCAACAGTCTACCACACAGCCACACCAACACAGTCTACCACACAGACACACCAACAGTCTACCACATAGACACACCAACACAGTCTACCACACAGACACACCAACAGTCTACCACACAGACACACCAACACTGTCTACCACACAGACACACAACAGTCTACCACACAGACACACCAACACAGTCTACCACACAGACACACCAACACAGTCTACCACACAGACACACCAACACAGTCTACCACACAGACACACCAACAGTCTACCACACAGACACACCAACACAGTCTACCACACAGACACACCATCACAGTCTACCACACAGACACACCAACACAGTCTACCACACAGCCACACTAACACAGTCTACCACACAGACACACCAACACAGTCTACCACACAGACACACCAACACAGTCTACCACACAGACACACCAACAGTCTACCACACAGACACACCAACAGTCTACCACACAGCCACACCAACACAGTCTACCACACAGACACACCAACACAGTCTACCACACAGACACACCAACACAGTCTACCACACAGACACACCAACAGTCTACCACACAGACACACCAACAGTCTACCACAGAGACACAGACACACCAACAGTCTACCACACAGCCACAGACACACCAACAATCTACCACACAGACACACCAACAGTCTACCACACAGACACACCAACAATCTACCACACAGACACAGACATACCAACACAGTGTTCCACACAGCCACCAACAGTCTACCACACAGACACACCAACACAGTCTACCACACAAACACACCAACAGTCTACCACACAGACACACCAACACAGTCTACCACACAAACACACCAACAGTCTACCACACAGACACACCAACAGTCTACCACACAGCCACAGACACACCAACACAGTCTGCCACACAGCCACAGACACACCAACACAGTCTACCACACAGACACACCAACACAGTCTACCACACAGCCACAGACACACCAACACAGTCTACCACACAGACACACTAACACAGTCTACCACACAGTCACAGACACACCAACACAGTCTACCACACAGACACACCAACACAGTCTACCACACAGACACACCAACACAGTCAACCACACAGACACACCAACAGTCTACCACACAGACACACCAACAGTCTACCAC